ACCACTAATGCTAAATATCAAGAAATTAACGTTTTTATCAGCTTCTTCAATCAAAATTGATCAAACATGCAATGAAGATGTATTTATTATTAACGGTGATTAGAATGTGGAAGTCAGAGTTAAAGAATGTTCCACAGTTGGAAGATATGGTCTTGTCGATAGAAATGATGCCAGAGATGGCAGGATAGAATTGTTAGACCAATGATGTGTTCATTGCAAATACAATTTTCAACAACATAAATAGCAACTATACATGTGGATCTTGTTGGATGGAATACACAGAAACTAAATCTGTGGGAAAAGAGAATGCTCCCTTAGAACAAGGGCAAGGGCTGACCTTGGAACAGACCGTCAATTGTTTATATGCAACTTCAAGGTGAAACTGAAGACAATGAAAGGAAGTCTAGGAGACCCAACACACAACTTTAAATACATTGCAGCTAAATTTGGAGATCATCGCAAGAGTGGGTTTAACACATTGAACAGTGATGACTGAAGACCAGGGGAGCACATGAAGGGCATCATATATGAAGGAAGCAGAAGGTCACTAAACAGACAAGAGAGGAACGACGAATGCAATGCCAGAGAGACTCTGAGACGTCCTCTTAAACAGAGAATGGCTCTGGTGAAAGGAAGAAATGATCAAGTGAAAGAGCTAAACAGAACTGTTCAAAGGGCAGCTTGACAAGCATTAAAATGAAATGTGTGAAGACGTGGCGGTAGAAAATCACAAGGAAAGATCCGTGTCTGGCATTACTCACACTAAAAGTACTGAAGAAAAGTGCAAGCCTCGGGTTGAAATATTGAAGGATTCTGTCCACTAGGATTGAATGACAGAGGACACACTACAGATGGTTGAGTTAATGCATAGAGTCACTGAACCAAAAGGATTTATTTCAACTATTTCAGGATGTAGCCTATGATTAAAAATAAAAATCCATGGTATTGAAGGAAGAAATGTGTGCTGCATTGAAGGCACTGGTGAAAAACAAGATACCGGGAATTTACAGAATTCCAAGTGAGATGTTTCCACAAACAGATGCAGTGCTAGATGTTCACTCATGATGCCAAGTCACCTGACTGGAAGAGATTCACATTCATGATGATTCCAAGGAGAGGTGATCCAGTGTAATGCAGGAATTATAAAAAATATTGATATTTCATACAAGTAAACATTTTCAAAAGCGAATTAAAAAAAACAATTACAGAAATTCAGGAAACTGCCATAAACTGCAAAGCGGATTCAGAAGAGGATGCAGAAAAAGAAGATTATATCATTTCTGAGGTCAGATGGATTTTGGCTGAAAGCAGATAACACCAGAAAGCTTTTACCTCTGTCTTATTGACTGTGCAAAGGTATTTGAATATGTGCATTAAAAACAAATCATGGACAACACTGTATAGACTGGGAAGTCCAGAACAATTAATTGTGCTGATGTGGAACCTATACTTAGACCATTTATACAAAGGAATACTGCCTGGTTTTAACTCAGAAAAGGTATGTGTCAAGTCTGTGTCCCCGTGCCAGATTTAGGAAGTCTACATAGTAAGCGAATGATCGGACAAGCTGGACGGCATGAAGAGGAATGAAGAGTCAGGATTGGAGGAAAACGCGTCAACAGTTTGCGAGGAGGGCAGAAGAACAAAAAATCACATCAATGTGAATGAGGGGGAGTGCAGAGTGGAGACCCAAAGCCCATCTACAGACGATTGGACATCCCCTTCCAGAAGAGTCGCAAAGAAGAGATGAGCCAGTCAGAGTGCAGTATAGCACCAATGAAACATACGGCTTTCCTCTAGTTCTTTAATGCTCCCCCGCACCACTATCATGATCTTACAAATCCAATTCTACCTTACAAATCCGGCTAGACCAGAGCATGTACACAGGTACAGATAAGAGCTGGAAACACAGGGAATCCAGGACAGATAAACCCCTCAGGACCAATAATGAGAAAAGCGATACCAGGAGGGGAAGGGGAAGGTGGGGGAGAAAGGGGAAACCAATCACAATGATCTACACATAATCCCCTCCCTGGGGGACAGACAACAGAAATGTGGGTGAAGGGAGACATTAGTCATTGTAAGAAATGAAAAAATAATAATAATTTATAAATTATCAAGGATTTGTGAGAGAGGGAGGTAGGGAGGGGAAAAATGAGGAGCTGATACCAAGGGTTCAAGTAGAAAGAAAATGTTTTGAAAATGATGATGGCAACACATGTACAAGTGTGCTTGACACATTGGATGTATGTATTGTGAAAAGAGCTGTATGAACCTCCAATAAAATGATGTTTTTAAAATGATGAAGGTAAAAAACTAATGCTTCCATATGGATTACATGTCAATACAAAGAAAACAAAAATATGCCTAAGTGAACCGATAGACATCGTCATGATAAATAGAAAAATATTGAAATTATTAAGGATTTCATTTTGCTTGGTTTGACAAACAGCACTCAAGGAAGCAGCAGTTAAGATATTGAATACTATATTGCAGTGGGCAAACCTGCTGCAAAAGAAAGCACTCTCTAAAGTGTTGCAGAGTAAAGATAACACTTCGAGAACTAAGGCATGCCTGATCTAAGTCCTATCATCTTCAATTGCCTCATAATGCATGTGAAAGCTGGACAATGCATTGGTGATCATTTCAAAGAATATTGGTCACAACACGGATGGCCAGAAGGATGAGCAAGCCTGTCTCAGAAGTACTGCCGGTTTGCTCCTTGGTATCAAGGATGGCAAGACTTCATTACATGTACTTTAAACCAGATAAGAGATATCATGCTTGGTAAAAACAGAGGCTCAGAAATAAGGAGGAGGGACCTCATTGAGATGGACTGGCACAGTGACAGCAGCAATGTATTACAGTGTCACAGGATGGGTGAGGGTGGTGCAAAACTGGGTGGCATTTCTGCCTAGGGTTGCTATGAGTAGAAATGGACTTGATTTCACCTAACAATAACAGCGACATTCTCATTGTAATTATGGATTTAAAGCAATTACATCATCGTTCTACTAGGGATTTATAAAACCTAATTGCCACTAGGAATACTTTAAGTGTCCCATTTAATCATCTCCCACCCACACCCACCCCCCAAAATCCCTAAGACATGAATGTTCATCACCTCCATTTGGCAGATGAGGAAACCAAGGGCCCCCATTGGTGAAACGCCATCTGAAACCAGAGTTATCTCACTTCCCCCCTTCACATTACCTTTATTCCAAGAATAGCTCATTATGTTTCACTTGGTTGATAAACACATGATTATTATCATTTCTTCATCTAAGCTTGCAGTTCCCTAACTCTGTTCTCAGCAGCAGAACCCTTTAGTCAATGTAGCTTTACTCTGGACTCCAGCAAGCACAGCAGATCAAAGCAGAACTGCTCTGCTGAAACAGATCCTGGGGCTCAGCAAGCAGGCACTTGACTCTGGGGTGGCCCTGAAACATCTTAGAGTCTATGGCACACCGGTTGAAGACCCCAGATAGAAGCCAACAGCCACTACCAAATCCGAATTGTTAAAGAGTAAGAGCAGCCTTCTCTTGTGAAACACCTCTTGTGCTTTCCTGTCACCCATCACATTTGATACTCATTATCAACCGAGGTGGACAAGGCAGGGCACATCATCATCAATTTTTGGACGAGAAAATCAAGGCCAAATGAAGTTAAGCAACTGGCCAAAGGTGAGCCAGTTCAATCTTCCGCCAAGTACAGACTGGAAACAGAGTCTGTGTCCATTAATTCTGTGTGACCTGGCAGAGAGCGTGCCATCTATGGGAAATGACAGCTGATTCTTGGTTCCTGAGTAGATGGCTTTGGTAGGGGAGAGGGGCTCAGTGTCACGGGCGGACCATTGCCATCAGAGCCATGTCATATTGAGAGCAGGGTAGGGGAGGCAATAATAGCCAAAGTGTTTTTCACCATCCTCTGCAGCAAGCAAGTGAATGCAGCAGGCAGTAAAGACTGGTGTTGCAATTCCACTTCCCCTTCTAAGTCTTCTAGGTCTTGCTTAGAAATCCCTGAACCCAGAGGCACCTGGTAATTGCCTGAAGGGTTCCCTCCATTCCACAGCATCGCTGAGCCGAACTAGAGCATGTGTTGGAATAGGCAACACTTAATTATCACTTAGTCGTAATTAGCACTTAATTATTAACACTTAATCCATCTGTAAAATGGGGACACTAATACCTGCCTCATAGAGACTCCAGGAGGACTAATTAATGCTTGCAGCCCACTTTGAAGATGGAAAACATTGATGAAGTGCTCAACGGTGACATGACTAACCACATTGGATTTATTTTCTTTCCTTAATGAGGTCCCGTCTTCCTCTTGGCTCCTCCCTCCCCTTGTGAATTTCCATTTCGCCCCTGACAGTATCTGCCCAACTTTGCCCTGGTAGAGAAACACTTAGCTCCGTATTTCCCAGACACAGGATTTCCCCATCCTGGAAACTGGCTATTTACAGCCATCTTCCCGCACTTTAATTTGCTATTACGTCCTCTGAATATGTCAATGCCTTCCCAGTAAATATTTTGATGTGAGCTTTTGCAGCGGCTTCTGTGGAGGCTGAATGGGACAGCTGCTCCCTGTATTAGGGAATTCCAGATGTGGTTTAAAAGCACCAGACCCGTCTGTGAGAATGCCCAGCCTTTGTGGGTAGCAGGAAGGAAGGATCTTCTGGTTGGCTCTGGGGAAAGCCATCTAACCTTCAGCCTTGGCAGAGATGGCATTTCAAGGACCTCAGACCCAAATCTGGTCTAGCTCTACCTTTAGGATGAAATGTGTCCCCTTGGTGGACTGGTAAAAGTGGCAGCTGGAACACTGCCCTGCCCAGAGCCAGGGTCAGCTTTGCTGTAAAGGTTGGACAAAAGACCAGGATGCAGGAGGAAAAGTATATAGCTTTAGGATGTAACCGACCTGGACCAGAACATTTCCCCAGCAAGCCAGACCTTAGCTCCTGCCCCCTCCCCCAAGTACCAACCAAGCAAGGAGACACTTACTCTTCGTGAGCGTTGAGCCCATGGTCCCTGGGAGTCCCAGCCACGGGGGCAGAGAGCTGCTCCCTCCAGGTCCTAGGCTGCAAGGCCTCCGGCAGGCCCTGAACCCTTTTCCAGATTTCATGGCAAGTCTTGTCTAAGCTGTCTTGCGGTGTGTCATGGTGGATCCAGATGTATCTGGGGAATGGGCCCAGGGCGGAGGGGCGCTTGGCCACCAGGGCCAAGGATGAAGGGAGCCCATTCCCACTGGCCATGCTGCTCCCCTCTCGCCTGCAGCCCCTATGTGCACCCAGGGTTCGAAGACAGGGGGCGCACCCACCACCGGCCCTCATTCACTAGGAGGGGAGACGAGGCCGCGATCCAGCAGAGGTGAGTCAGTTGGGTCTGGCTGTTGCTCCGGAAAGGTGACTGGGTTCACAGGCCCTGGATTTGGGGGTGAGTGGTGCAGCGGGGACAGGGACGGCTTCTTGTGACTTGCTACTATTTGCTCTTTCCTGACCTTTGCCCCTCTCCCCGTCTCCCTTAGAAGAAAATATTTAAAAGTCAACAAAAACCAGTAGCTTAGTAACCTTAGAATCCCCTGGAGCTCAGGAACCAGGCGCCTGGGCGAGCCGAATGACATCTGGGAACAGCTGGAGGGGGAGGGCTGGCTCTCCCCACAGTGCCTGACACTACCCCCTCGGGACACACCCCTGGCACCTTGTGAGCCCTGGGGTTCATCCCATTTTCTGCCTCTAAGGCAGCGGAGACAGGTTAGGAGACTGGCAGTGTGCTAGGCACCTTTCGGTCAGGAGGCCACCAAGAGTCGCAGCACCGCCTTCCCAGGGAGCCCTGGGCTCTCTGAAAGCCAACGGCCTGTCCGCCGAAACCACCCCCTCCCCCACCCCCCAGGACCCCTCTCTTGCTCTTGCCACTAAGCTCCTTCGGCCCCCCTTTCTAGCTGCTTCGCTGTGGCCACACCAGGAGGGAACATTTAGGGGCAAATCCGGGGCGCTGTGCCCCCCACTGCAGCCCCCCTGGTGTCCTGCCGTGCCCCCCACACCCACCGGGTCCCGCGGATGGGCACCGAGAAGGGTCTCTACGCTTTAAAGGCGCTGTCCTGGTGGGACAGGCCAGGCTAGGTGACTGGGGCTGGTTTGCCTGCCAGTGGCTCACAGGGCGCCTGCCTGCGCTGGAATTCTTTCTGTGGGTTTCAAACGCAACGGTTCCCTGCGTGCGCGGGCCCGCCAGGGTTTGGCGTCCCAGGCCCCCCGGTGGTGGCCTCTGGCTGGGGTCTCCCCCCAGAGGTCACCCTCACCTGGGTGCTCTTCCCTCGGGGAGTCTGGTGCCCGCCTCAGAGGCCCTGCCCCTGGGTCAACCATCTTTCCCTGGTACTGGTCTTTGTTTTCTCTAGGGGCTTGTCCTGTGCGGAGCACTGGTTTCTGAGCTCACGTGATCAGGCTTGTTATTCATCCGCCTTCAGTCGCTCCCCACCTTCCTAATGCCAGGACCCCTTAATACAGTTCCTCATGTTGGGGTGACCTACCCTCAACCATAAAATTATTATAGTTGCTACTTCTTCACTGTCATTTTGCTACTGTGATGAATCGGACAACCCCTGTGAAAGAGTCATTCGACCCCCAAAGGGGTCGCGGACCCACAGGTTGAGAACCGCTGGCATGAACAGAAAGGGTGGCCCAATCACGAAGGGGCGTGTCCAAGACAAGTGAGTCAGCAGGGAGCTGGGCTTCAAGCAAGGGCACTCCTGGCCTGGGCGGCCCAGCTAGCCATCTCTTTCAAAGAGCCTGGAACTTGCAGCTGAGCAAACTCAGGCAGAGGAGCTCTGGGCTCAGGCATCCAGGATTGCCCCTCCAAAGTTTCCTCCTAGGGGCAAGAAGGAGAGAGCTGAGGGGTCTGGCAGTCTGTGGAGGGTTGAATTCTACACAGCCACTTCCCAGCCGCGGATACGGATCCTTGAAACACTTGTTTAACGTCTCTGGTCCTCCTCCATTCAGATTCCAACTGTTGACTGAACCCTTTCTTGGTGCCTTCCTGGGCACCATGGGGGCATGAGAATAAGCAAAGTCGCTGCCCCTTCTCTTGTGGAGCTTACATTGCAGTGCGAGGAGACAGACCACAAAGCAGTGAAGTCAGAAATAAGTGTTCACTACAGATCCCTGGTGACGCAGTGGTTAAGTGCTGGACTGCTAACTGAAAAGGCTGTGGTTCGAAGCCACTTGTAGAAAACTATCTAGCAACCTGCTTGCATAAGGAGGATTTGGGCTTGCAAACTGTAAGGAGCCGTTCTGCTCTGTCTTAAGGCAGTGGAGTACAGATCTCTGCGTGGCACAACGGGTTAAGAGCCTGACCATGAGGTGGCACAAGCAGTTTACTCTTCACTGACAAGCTAACACTCAAAAGGCTCGGGCCCACGCCAAGACTTGGGGCTGTGTCTTTGTAAAGATTATAGTCGAGGAAACCCCATGGAGTTGTAACCTATGTCGTCTCCATGAGTTCAGGGTGATGACAGCAAATGGAGCCCCGGTGGTGTGTAGTGGTCATGCCTTGGGCGACAATCTGTGTGGTTGACAGTTTGAAACCACCAGTCGCTTCGGCTTCCTATTCCTGTGAACAGTTACAGTCTCAAAACCCCATGGGGTCGCTGTGAGTCAGCACTGACTTGATGGCAGGGAGATCACAACAGACAACAGCTACTGCTCCAGAAAGGAGTCAAGTGTACCTGGTGATGCATCTGAAGACACTCTTGCTGTTTCTGAAATGGGGAAAAACATGCCACTTTGAAACCCGTGAGATCGCTATGAGTCAGAACCCACGTTAATGCAACCAGTTTGGTCATGTGTTTGTGTTTTACCAGATCAACAGGGGGCTGTGATGGAAATGAACAAGTGAGGGAGACCGTGTGTAAAGTAGGAGTAGTCCTGGTGGCACAGTGTTAAAGTGCTCGGCTGCTGACCGAAAAAGCAGTGGTTCACAGTCACCATGTGGGACGAGGAGGCGTGGAACCCTGCTTCTGGGAATAGTTGGAAATGGTCTGGAGCAGCCCTGCCCTGCCCCGTGGGTCTCTCCGAGGCCCCTGCGACTTGCTGATAGTGGGATTGGTGTGGGTGTGGGTATGTAAGGGGCCGGGGATGCCAGAGGTGCCCAATATAACACTCTGGCTCTTTCCAGAGGGGCTGATTCTGGGAATATTGACTTTGACTTTTGAAATCGGAGCTTCATTCCCCTTTTGATTTTCATTATAAATTTGAAGATGTGTTCCTTTGGGGAAAATTCCAAAGACCTAGACTGAATAAAATTAGAGTTAAGAATGTAGAAAACCTTTTAAGATAGTGTATTTAAAGGAAAAGTGATCATTTCTGATGAAATATTAATAGTTCTGAAAATGTCACTCCATGTTTGTCCTGCTTGGCATTTGGTTGGCTAACACCTGTGCTTAGAGCAGAGCGCCGACCACGCTGAGCCGCACAGGCCACAGGTTTCTGAAAAGTTAGCCAGCAGTGCACTCACTCCGCCTGCTCTTCTTCCCCCACCCCCAGCAGGAGACTGGGCAGCAGGGTCTGGGGCAAAAAGGAGTGGGGTGGGGGGAGAAATATGTAAATGTTTCTTAGAACTGACAGCCAAGGTTTTGTTACTGGATGCCATGGGTTCGAGACTCTAAAGCACTGGTTCTCCACCTTCCCAATGCCATGGCCCTTTAATATAGTTCGTCATGTGGTGGTGACCCCCTCCCCAACCATAAAATTATTTTCGTTGCTACTTCATCACTGTCATTTTGCTACTGTTATGAATCGGGTGACCCCTGTGAAAGGGTCGTTAGACACCCCCCCCAGGGGTCGCGACCCACAGACTGAGAACCGCTGCTCTAAATGATCCAAGAATGACACAGAATAAGTGTGTGAGAAACAAGCGGTTTATTTCGCATAGCGAGAAATGGAGACAGTCAGAGTAGTCTCGCAGAAAAGATGGGAAGGGAGCTGGGTTCCACTTTTTATGAAGGAAGACAAGGAAATTGTAGCAGCAGCTAGGTTGGAGGTTGGGGAGGTGGGGTTTTCCTGGAAGGGGTGCTCCGAGTGCGGAGTCACTGCCCATGCTGAGTATCTGCAAACAGAGTGGACCGGTCAGTGCTGCCAAGGTAGCCAACGCTTAGTAGGTCACGGCCATTGTTCTTACTTCTACTTGGGAGGAAATTCCTGCAAGATTGCTGATAAACACGCACGAACCACAAGTTTCCTTTACTTTCACTACACTTATTCCATCTGTATGCTAAGCAAATAATACAAGAAGCTGGACTAGATGAAAAAGAACTCAGCACCGCATTGGAAGGAGGATTATTAACAATTGATAATATGCAGATAACACTATCTTGCTTGCTGAGAGCGAAGCGGACTCTCAGCACTTGCTGATGGAGGTCAAGGACTGCAGCCTGCAGTCTGGATTACACAACTCAATGGAAAGAAAACCCAGCTCCTCATCGCTTGGGCCCATAGACAACATCAGGACCCACGGAGAGAAGATTCAAATCCAGGAAAGGATTTAATCTGCTCGTATCCACAATTGGTGCTCAAGGAAGTCGGGGACTCCAGTGACGTTCCACACTGGGCCAATCTGCCTCACAAGATTGCGTGGAAGTGTTGAAGAGCAAGGATGTCACTTTGAGGACGGAGGTGCACCTCACCCACAGCACGGCGTGTTTCAGTCCCCTCTTCTGCATGTGAAAGCGGAACAATGAATGGGAAGACAAAGAGGAATGGATGCCTTTGAAGTATGGTGCTGGCAAAGAATGGTGAAAGTACAGTGGACTTCCAAACCACCAAAACTCCCTGCCACCAAATTGATCCCAACTCATTGTGACCCTATAGGTCAGAGAAGAATGGCCCCTATGGATTTCCAACACTCTATATCTTTATGGAGGTATACAACCGCATACTTCTCCTTTGCAGTGTCTGGTAGGTTGGACCTGCTCGCTTTGTGGCTCGCAGCACCAAGGTTCTTTGAACTGCCAGAAGCACAAACAAATGTGTCTTGAAAGACGTCCAGCCAGTGATCCCTAGAAGCCAGGATGGCAAGCCTTCCTCTCGTGCTTTGCACAGGTCACCAGGAGAGGATGGTCCCTAGAGAAGAATCATACTTAGGACAGTGGAGGGGCAGTGAAAAAGAAGAAGAGCCTTCATACGATGGACCGATACAGTGGCTGCAACGGTGGACTCCAGCCTGAGAACAATGTGCGGCTGGCGCGGGGCCGGGGAGGGTTTCTGTTGTACATAGAGGGGGGCGCTTTGAGTCGGAACCGATGGGATGCTACCTCACGGCAACAACTACCACGAGCTCAGGC